ACTAGTCTTCAAAATTTTGCCGAAAGAATTTTGTTCTAATCTTATTTTTTACTCATCATGCTCGATCTTTGACTTACGGACGGGTGTCATTTCGGCGGAAAGCTTTAATATGAAAAAAACTGATATGTCAATCATATTTAGCATCGAAGATTAAGGGTGTGAAATTTTTGTCTCAGTTTGAAGATTTACCGAGGCGCGGAAATGGCAAGTTTTGTGTTTTGTTGATAGGGTATAACTTTGTTTATTACTCATTGTTAGTGTTCTGGTATTTCGCTTATGTAGCAATAATGAATTTCTATTAAAAACACTCGAGAATTGTTCCTTGTGAAAATTTCTAGAAGATATAACATACATTCTCCCATTGGAACTGTGGTTTACATGAGAACCGATAACGAACTCTTTTTATGCTATCACTTGGAATTTCTCTCTGATATCACGAAATTATAGTGTACAGTGCTACTAATCACACTTTTTTCTTTGATTAAATAGTAATTATACCAGCGAGATGTCTTATCAGTGAGAAGTTGTACGCAGTGGACTTCAGAAGAGGGTAAAATACTCGTGATTCGCAGTCTGGCTTAATATCAAAGTGTGGACTGTTAGGTTGTGAAAGAGTTCTGTGCTTCAAGTGTATGTGCACTCATGGAATTCCCACCAAAAAAGTAGGCTGCATTTTTGAGAAGGGCTGAAAAGCCATAGTTTTCTTTTCGTTTCCTTCAGAGATTATGGCGCATGCTTATAAGTTGCTTTAGAAGAACTTCAGAAGACATACCCTTGATTCAGCTGGCTTGGCTGCTGGAAGGCGGGGCTTCGTGACCTAATTAAGGTTGGATGATGATCAAAGAGACGCGCGCGACAGAGCCGCAGACTGCGTCGAGGGCGCGAGCTGCCTTAATTAGACCACAAAGCCCCCCCCCTTCCGTTCCAGCCGCCAAGCCAGTTGAATCAAAGGTTAGTTGGCAGTGACGGACCTAGAGCGGGAATGGAAGTGGGGTGGGAGCGCTCCTTACGAGCATAGAATTTTTGACAGTGGTTCACATTAGTGATTCTAGTTTTGATTCTGACCATGTTCCGCTCTGATTAGCTGTTTAGCTATCCTGGATTAGTAGGCCGCAAAATATTTTAAAAGCATTGGAAAAAAATTTTGTCAGAAGGTACGTCAAGATTCGCCTCTCGTTTCTCCCCCCCCCCCCTCCCTCGCCCAGCAAGGCACCACTTGGGCGCCATAGATATGTAGCATTCTGTTAGGATACCTGTTACACTAGTATCAAAAACGCATCAAAGTATGTCAAGCAATGTGGAAGCCGTAAATATATTTTTTGTGGGGATAGAAGGGGCTTCAGAAAAAAATACGAAACCTTCAGAAAATTTCCGGGTTATTTTCAAACTTCTTGGTAAACTGTGCACCAAGTTTCTAATTGTAAGAAGACTTTGAGAGTGCCACGGTCGAAGAAGCTTCCAAAGTCAATTTTTTATACAATTCTAAATTTTAAACTGATCTTAATCTGACAATCATGGTAAAAATACATAGCTCTACAATGGACACGATTCTGGTTAGGGTCTGACCTAGTCTGAATATAGTAAATGGGTTGGAAAGAAGTAACCCCGGGCTAACAAATGATGGGAGTTAAGAAGTAAAACGTGTTATCCTTGAAGATGTGCGCTCCGTGGCCGTTTTCAACGCATTAGTGAGTTGATAGTGCAAGTGCACTACAGGACCGCGCTGCGTGGACTATGCGCAGGTGTGCATATGTCTTCAGTTGTTCATCAGTATTTGCCAGCAAATCATTTCTCACTCATGCGTAATTTGATCTAAATAAATTCGTACGAATAGAAAATATATTAGGTCGGTGCAAAAGTTTTGTCAGTTTTTTCAATCCATCGGCAAACACGCTGGAATGAAGACAAACAATCACTTTAAAATGTATCCGATGCAGAATTTCTTCCTCTTTCCAGTGGCTGAACTTCCATTGTGTTTCCTTAAAAGACTGATGAGATATTCGCTGGAAATTGCAACCATTCGTTTTCACCATGTCCAACTTTCACTAACTTTCAAAAAATTTTCATGAGATTTTCGAAGGAGCCCTAATAACTATCAGATAGTGCAAACCTTTTGCCAACAGAAGCAATTTTTTGTAGCCCTATGGCTTGTCTTTCAGAATTTCTACGATTCATTTTTTGAAGTAACCAAATTTTACATTCAGCCTATTTTAACCTCGTAGAACATTGAATGTTAAACACTTCAGTCACCATTCGATGCAACTTTTTCTCCTCCTTCTAACACTTGTCTTTTTTGCTGAGGCAGGCGAAATTTGTGGGGAAAACCGCAGTATTTCTCAATTTCAGGAGTGCGCAGTGACGTAACCTATGTTTCAAAATCTTCATAATTTGAAGCGGAAATCGCTCATTTACTTTGTAGTGGTAGCGGTAGTAACATCGAGTGTTGAAACCTCAGCATTCTGCAGGTTTTGCAGTGTTTGGTTCAGTAACACATTATGCGATTTTCCAAAACACAAGACTTTTAGAAAATTATTTAGCAAAAATCTCAAAAAAGCAGCTAAAAAGAAGAAAAAATTGCGTGAGTTGGCAAAAGGTCTGCCCTATCTGATGGTTATCAGGGCTCCTCCGAATGTCTCATACAAAAATTTTGAAAATTAGTGAAATATGGACATGGTGAAAACGAATGGTTGCAATTTCCAGCGAATATCTCATCAGTCTTTCAAGGAAACACAGTGGGAGTTTAGTCACTGGAAAGAGGAAGAAATTCTGCATCGGATACATTTTAAAGTGATTGTTTATCTTCATTCTAGCGTGTTTGCCGATGGATTGAAAAAACTGACAAAACTTTTGCACCGACCTAATACATGTTCCCCTTCTAAATTTTTGATTTTATTCTCTATTCTCGCTCTCTTTACGCTATCGAATCGAGTTCTTTGAATCGAAACAAAAAGTCATCAAGGTCATAAGTCATCATTGATGTTGAGTCCCTTATATTAGGCTGATGCAGAAATAATGCAAGTATGTTGCTACCAATTTGAATATAGAAATATAGAATTAAAAAAATGGTATACGGATGAGGTAACATTTGAAACAATGGTCATGGAATTGAAATTTGAAAGAACGAAGCAAGCTCTACAAAGTGACTACCAGTCTACCTACATAGGTCTACGTAAAGTTTGATGCCAAAATTCATGACCATTGGGCCAGCTAAAAAACCGGATCATCACCCGGAGAAATCCTACAAATCTCCCAGTTGGCCATCATTTACATAGTAGACACGTAACGTTTTATGCACTTGCTGTAGTCTTCTCTCGCTCAGAATCTGAAAAAAAAAACGAAAATCGAAATTCGACAAACTCCGCCTCTAACCCCGCCCCTTTCCCCCAAATCAGGTTTTATGTACCACAAAGCCTCGGAAGCATGACCGTGAAACTTCAGTTTAGCTTGAATTGATTTCTAAGAAAAGTCACTTTTAGCTTTGATAACCCATAGTCTACGGCCATTATTTTTGCAACCTAATGAATGGAGAATTTTCTGAAACAAAAAAAAAACTTTGCCATTGCAGCCCATAAATTTTGAGTGCTCGCCAGGGCTCGAGGTAGAGCCATCGCCATCGATATAGCATGCACTTTTTCTATTGATTTTGTGAACATAGAAGTGTAAACATCTTGCGGACAATTGCAAAGTACAGCCTGCACTACATTCTAAATTCTTTTTATTTTAGTTGAAATTCAATCAAGTAGTAGATCTTATCTTAAGCTCGTAATTATCTTTCGCTCTTGAAATGGTAATGTTGGTCATAACACTCAGTGATCTCTTTTGTCTTCGTAACCTGTCTAGGACCTTTTGCGCATCCGCTCCCTTTGAAAATTTGAATCCAATCCTGCCTTTTGTGATCAATACATTTTATGTAAAAGACGGTCTTCAGACTATTTCTCTGAATATTTCACTTCAAAATTTTATTCACGTTATGCAAGGTAAATCAGCTAGACTTGAGTCAGTTTTATAATTGGTTTGTTCCTATTTTTGCTTAATGCAAAGCCATTTTTTTATGCTCTCTACTTGCAAAGTCTCGTGCATGTTGTCCTTAAGCCTTGAATAAGTCCACTACAAAGCCTAAAAAGCTTTTCAACTGTAACTGCGAAAACGGAGCTTTTTTTATTCCACTTAAAAGCTTCTGAAGAGCTCATCTCTTTCGGATACTGGGGGCCGTTTCAGCGATATTGTGAAGTGTAGAGGTGGCGATTAGGAACAAAAAATCTCAAAGAACCTCTCCGTAATTTTTTGAATCCCCTCCCGTTCTGCTCTAAGAAGTACCGGGAAGAATTCTCAACCCGTTGAGGAAATCTACCGCTTTCGATTGACGTTCAAAATCAGGTACCTGGACCATTGAAGAACAGTTATCTAGCTGCGCATCAAAGCGGTACCTTTCTGTTCTTCTATCGACTGCCGCTCTCTTGTAAAAAAGTGGTGCGGGATTTTTTTGGTAAATTGATGACTTCCTTGTTTGGCTTTTTTTTATCACTATCTTTGGAGTAACTGGGAGATCGGATGCAATGGCGCACAGAGCTACACGTTGAGAGTAGACCGGTTCATTGATCTAACGACAGAAGGCAGTATAGGAATACAAACAATATTAATCTACTGGATCCTGGTAGGTTGCAGAGTTGACGATGATGACGGGGCAAACAGCAGCCCAGGGATATCAGAGGCGCCGCCGGTCGGTTACCGGACGTTGGGGTTTCTCCTCGCACCCCGCGCGTATCGGCCACGCCCTAAAAAGCATGACTCAGTACCGAACTCAATAGGGGTGCTTGTGCTCACACCTCCCCACTTTATTTTAAGTCCGTCTCGGACTTGAATCAAATGCTATAATGAATGAAACGATAGAAGAGCTACAAAAAGGGAGGAAAATAAATAAATAAATAATACAAGTAATAAGAACAGGTTGGAAGGCGCACTCACCCTTATTTTCCAAAAGAGTCTTTAGAGATACCGTCCTAGGTCAGATCGGCTGACGATGGCTCCTGGCGAGATCGACCAACTGATAACCCTGTTCCAGTGATCTTTTGTAACATTCGGACATGTCCCAGGATGATTTGCCCATGACGGCACCGCGAAATTGCCACATTCATCCTTCTGTAGTCGACCAGAAATCCGCTGAATTAGGATCAACATTAGTACGTGCCGTAAAAATGATAACTACCTCTCTTTCACGTCCTTCCATGGATCTGTGATCGCTGATGCCGTTGCGTCCCGTAACATCTTTGCTTCGCGTCCAATGACCAGCGCATCGTCAGCAACGTAACTAAAAGTCTGCTCGACTCGGCGAGCGAACTCGCAATCTTCTGCGGATGACGGGGCTCACTGACTGTGCACGCGATCGAGACTTGGGAGGTCCCATGGAATCTGAAGCAAGGAAATTCATTTTGAAATTTTGGTTATTCAGCATGTATCGATGTATAGCGTATTAAAATACATCAGTTATTCATGGCAGCATATGAGGGTAAATTTGAGATTAACTCTACGCAAAAAGCCGGGGAACAGATCATAACGAAAACGAAGAATGCGTTGACAAGTGGGAAGATCCTTACAAAGCGAAGGAGCAAAAACCGGCTGAATCAGAATTTCACAAAAACAAAAGGGCAAATACTGTAGCTTCCGAACAAAGAAAAAGAATGGGAATCACATGAAGCTGTATTCAGTTGAATAGTTGTTTACTACAGAAATACGGTAGTTCAATTTGAAAACTTTAGTGCAAACGTCCGCATGGGAAAGAAAAACTTACATCCAAAACACTACCGTAATCTGTTTTGCTCGTAACTGCAGAACATGCTAGAACAAGAAGATGCTGCAAATCAAAAAGGTTTGAGAAACAAGCTAGCTTGCAGCACAAGCTGCCAAGAATAAACATATATTCCAATGTGCGAAGAGGACAGAATGGCGATGAGTAAGTAAGCCTACAACATATGGCAAAAATCGGGGCGTTCCGGCTCTAAACACTGACAACATATGGCGTTTCCAGCGAAGCTATAAAAAGTCCCGGGTTTTGGAGGATCTATGATAGAAATAACGTACATTTCCATGAAACTCGGAAAGCAATAAACTGCCGCTTTATTTCCTTTATGCACCAGGGGCCTTAGCTAACTATCAAATGCAGATATCTGTCTCAAAATCGAAAGTCTTAGCGGCATGCCGAATACTGTAACTGCATAATCCTACACAACTGCATTTAGCGGCAACGACGGATAAGCGAATATGATCCTCAGCACAAACAGATTTGCACGCGCGCGGAAAACTCAACCAAAAATGGCCCCTTCAAATAACTAGAACCGAAGCTTCGGAACCACAATAGTCGTTGAACCTCGTTCAAATATGTTGCAGACGTCTGCGTGTACCACGCCAGTAAACAAAGGCATGCCAAACAAAAGGAGAGCTCGGAGAAACTCCAAAACTTGCAGATGCCTCTGTCTACCATTTAAATTGTCGGCTTCCAAAATGGCCAGTTTTCGAAGTCGACAAATAACGGACTCATTGAACAAAACTCAACTCACCCAAGCTGACCGTCCTTCCCGTCCGACTATCAACCACTCGCTGCTACCAGTAAAATGCTGTGCTCTTCACTGCTAAGCTACACGTTGAGAGTAGACCGGTTCATTGATCTAACGACAGAAGGCAGTATAGGAATACAAACAATATTAATCTACTGGATCCTGGTAGGTTGCAGAGTTGACGATGATGACGGGGCAGACAGCAGCCCAGGGATATCAGAGGCGCCGCCGGTCGGTTACCGGACAATGGGGTTTCTCCTCGCACCCCGCGCGTATCGGCCACGCCCTAAAAAGCATGACTCAGTACCGAACTCAATAGGGGTGCTTGTGCTCACAACAGTAGAACTGTATAGGCGCAAGTTTCATAGAACATTTGCTACAAAAGTTGCACTCTCAGAGTGTCCAGTAGCTATACTTGACGAGACCTGGGCCAAAAATTGTATATTTTCGAACTGAATTCTGTAGGAAGGAATATGTTTGTGTGGTACCAGGCGTTGTGTAATGGGCGGGTAAACAATTAGACGGACGAAGTCTATCAAAAAATAGTCCATTAGACTGTGAATGTTGTGGAGGAATCGCACACTCCAATATTTCTGGCCTCTCCCCCTCCCCCACCCCTGGATGAGCTGAATCGCTTATTGATACTAACAGTAGCTATAGCTAATGTTAGTATCATATAAGCGATTTGTGCATTGAGAACTCTGGCTGGGCGTGGCGAGAGCGGCCAATAAGCCAGTCGCCGCCTTCTTGCATAGAGATGTATCCGAATCCTATCAGGTGCTCAAGAATGATGTAATGATGGAAAATGCAAATTTGTATATCTACCAAACCAGTCTTCGTAGGCAGAGGCAGACAAATGCATAGCTTTCGTGGAGACCGATTTAGAGGTCTTGATAAGCTGTTGTGTCCAAGCGGCGAGTCATTTTATCAATTCATGGTAGACAAATGCAGCTGCATATTTCAGTCCAGACCGTACTCTTCATCGTAACCGAGGGCGCAGAATGGCGCGCTCGGAAAGAATATTCTGGGCTGAAAATTTGATCTTCGGCCAGAAAAGAATTACATGATCTGCTTGTGCCGTGCTAACTAAGATTTCTGTTGAGTTCGGATACCTCGATATTTGCCTGGACATTGCTTTTGAAAGATTGTTTTTGAAAATATTAGGTTGTCCCATAAGTCTTTTCATGTTCGGACCTTCAATTTGATATTTCTCAAGAACTAGGACACCTAGTAAGCTGTAAATTTTTGACAGTAATTCTGAGTGAATAAGCTATATAATCGCCTATTTTCGGGGAACACAGAACTGATACAGGCAAAGTTTGTAAATTGAGCGCATTATTTTCTTCTTGGTTTCTAGCCATCAGAAAAATGCAGCAAGTGCATATATAGTCGTCCTCACCCCACTAGTCGGTCGGTGGTCGAATTTGAATTCGAACTAGAGCAGGCCGTCCGCGGCAGAGCGCGGCAGAGCGCGGCAGACCGCCCCTCAGCCAACCGCTTGCACATGAGCTTTTCTCTTATTTTCTTCTTGTTTCTTTGCTATCTCTCGTACTGCGGCAATCTTCTTGAACAGATTTTTAGATTTTGTTCCGCTAACTATTGTTTTGTGCAGTTGTGCTCGTTTGTTTTACATTTCTTTCCAGACAAACCGGGAAAAAGGATGCGATTGGAGATTTTGAGTGAGAAATCTCTTTTCCAGTAAGTGACATAAACACAAATGTGATTTGATGAACTGCGTCAAGTTTTTCGTTAGAATGTGTACACTCTGAACTATTTTTTCGCGAAATTTTCTTAAAAAGTGTTTGTTTCAAAGAGTTAGCGGGACGAAATCTGAAAATCTGATTTAGAACACTGCCGCAATACGAGAGCTAGCAGAGGAACACGAAGAAAATGAGAAAAAAGCTTATACGCATGAAAAGGTGGTAATTCGCAGAGTTGTTTTGAACTGAGATATAACGATTTTCATTTTTTCGGAGATTCGAATTTTTTTTTGTTTTGGCTGGGAACTTGAACGGATCGAGGTTTCTGCGAACTTTTGAAGGCCATCTTGTAGAGCTTGCTTTGATCTGTCGAATGGTACCACGCATTCTATTAGAAGATCAAAAAGAACTGATTTATGTCGCTGGAAATTTAGGTATGAAAAGACTTATGGGACAACCTAATACTAAGAGATTCGCGTGCAACTCAATTCCATTGTCCAGCTTAAGTCCTTGACTTTCCCAATCTCGCCTGCGAACTGAATCGCAATAGAACATTGTTTTTCTAGCACTTGTGATTGTAATCTTGCAGACAAATGAGCACTTAGATCTGTAGTTTATGGGTGTTTAGTTTTGTGAGTAGAACGTGCATCTGCGCGATGAAATCGCCAACGACATTATCTACGAAACGAGTTTTCGTAGCCCTATTTTTACCCTTTTTGGAAGTATACAACTCTCTTGTGGCTGTGCATCTGACCGAAGAAACCTAGGTAATCATGGTAAAACCACCTTCATTGTTGGACGCTCTAAAGGCAAGTTGATAATTACTCTATTATTGACATCATGTGAAATTACAAATATGGATATGCTCCAGTGGTGTACCCAGGATTTCGGCTCGGGGGGGGGGGGGGCACGGCAAAAAAATTTTTCAAATGAAGGTGCGTGGCGTTAGCCACGAACTCCGAAAAAATTTTGGGGGGCTTCTCAACAATTTTGCGGACCCCCCAACCCTAAAATCTGGAAAAAGGGGGCGTGGCGTCAGCCACGCCCCCGAAAAATTTTTTTTATAAGGCTAATTTGAATTTTTAAAAAATTTTAAAAATTATTTTAATTGTTTACAAAAATAAACAAGTCATTTGCACATTTTTATAACTCATGTAAGTAACTTTCAAAAATTTCGCGACCCGTTCTCGGGGGGGGGGGGGCGGCGCCCCCCCCCCTCGCCCCCCCCCTCGGTACGCCACTGATATGCTCATATCTATCAAAGTTCTATCAAGGTCAACCACCTATCTGCATCCGTCCTAGCTTAGCTGTAGCTTTATGAGATGAGTTGCAGGCAATTCATGAAGCATTCCTTTCTATATTTTCAGAGAGATATCCATGTTGAACCTAAGCCAACTAGTCTTAAACACATAGAATAAGTTGATTCTTCTTGCAGTTGGAAATCTTCATATTCATCTGTTTGTGAGGGGCATCCTTTTACCGAAACCAACTGAATTGGTTGAGTTTTGCGGAAACACTGTACTCTACCGCAACATGTTTATCATCGAGATGACTTACATTTATTGGAACTTTTATCTACTCCAAAAAGCAAACAAAGTGGAAATGAGTAGGTAAACAAACTATCTATTTACTTCTTATGCACTTATTATCTCTGCGTCTAGAGCTTCGTAGAATCTCACTATCTCTCTCTTGGCAGTTTCTTGCAGAGCTTCAACTAAAGGCTGCGTTCATACTGATCCCAAAGTCCGGGAACAGTTACAATACAGCGCCCAAACTTAGCGCTGTGCTGGAACTGTCCCCGGAGTTGGGATCAATATGAACACAGCCAAATTAGTCCACACCATTCTTCTCACTTCTTTATCCGGAAACTAGGAGAAAACTACAAGCATTCTATTTTTTGTCATTAGAGGAGTCGTCTTCTGTATTTCAGGGCTCGGCGCAGGTGGCTTGTAAGCAAGCTGGGTTTGGTTTTTGGGACAAAAAGCAAAGGGGATAACGTTTTTACCACATGAGTAAAAGATGTGTTTTCTTGAACTTACCTGGCATTATGTGTCAGTTTTTTCACATACCGGGTGTCCCAAAAAATGGGCCTACTGTTTGATTTTCAATAACTCTCTTGTAATGAATCCTTTCTAGAAGCTTTAGATATCCTTTGTAAAAATAGCTTTAACTTAGAT